GGCTATTCATATAGCTAGCTAAAATTGAACTCAAAAACACGATTCACGCAATCTACAAAAGGCGGTTATCCCGAGTAAATCTGGGAAGAACACTCTGAAACCCCAAAACAAAGCCCCATTTTTACCAGCATAGTAGTCAATGGACTCAAAAGAAGGGCATCCTCCCATTACTTGCATAAGTATCAAAAAATTATAAATTCTCGGGAGACTCTTGTCACAGCACTTTTTTGGACAATTCGTTGGGCGGCCCCAATCGTTTCAGTCACCAACAACATTTGTGACTCTAGTTATTTAGTCTCGACACCAGTCGAGTATGTTTCCGGAAGACAATCTTTACAAATGATATTTGAAAAAGTACTACTGTGTGTATGAGGTGATCCAGTAACACAATCATGTTTGTCTTACTAACCACCAAATAGTTTATATAGTTTAGTGATAAGTTACATCATTAAACACTATAAATACATTAAAAACTCCTACTAATTTGAGTCCACGGTTTTCAAGATATTACAAAACACAAGACGTTGTAACTCTCGTCGACTCCTCGTCTAGTCACAGAGGACATACGACCACAATTTACGACATTTACTGTCTTAGGTTTTCCCAAAGACTGACAATTTCAATCCAAACATAACAACATACTTATGTAATCTCGAGACTTTATTTCATTTTTTTCTACAGTTTCCATTAATGTGAGTTGTAATTAGATGGGATTCAACCCTTCAGTGAGACCATACAAACCGAATTTGTTTTACAGAAAGTGTAATACATTATTATGTTGTAATTACATAGAACGTAGTACGTTAGGGTGTTTACATTATAAGTTTCTTTTAATCGTTGTCATTGTTACATGTTGTCACTTTAAAAAATAAGGTGGTCTACGACATAAAGTGACGAACAGACACAACTAAGTTTGATAACGTTGTACAAAGGTACAGAAAAAAAGTTCAGGACACATAGTCTATCGTTAACCCCTTGTCGTGTGCGACACTTGTTGTCAAGGCTGTGGCTGTGATGTCGTAGATTGTACACCAGCAACTACTTTGATTGGGAGTACGAAAATAGTTTCTTGAGTGATAAGTTTTTAAATTTAGACACGCTTTGTTTGTTTGTTGAAATTTATGCGCAGAGTCGACGTCGAGACACTTTCTATATCCATAGTTATTTCCGTCCTTTTACCAACTTTACTTTTCATAAATAGAAGAAAAATTGAAATCCAGATGTATACTGCTTAATTTTTTAGTTTGTAGCCGGGGAGACAACAAAGGGCGCTGAGTCTGACGGGGCGTTCCTAGCACCCACACTGGGGATCTATTGTTTGGCAGCGAAGTTGAGGGCCGTTTGTAGCACGATGTTAGGCGTGACGACGTCTATGTGAGGAATGTTCGTAGTACCTCCTATGCAGGGGGTCGACTGGGTCTTTCTCTCGTCCAAGGACCAGGGTCCGAGAGGCAGAGAGTGTCCGGGATCTGATGACGTTGAGGAAGGACCGACCAGATGGACACGTAACACGGTAGGCTGAGACCGTCCGAGTAGCGTCTTACCGCCGGCCGGAGCAGGACAGAGTTGGAACGGATTTACAGGCGTGTTGGTGCGGCCGAGGAGGTGTGGCGAGGAGTGGACCGAAGGTCATTTGACGATCTATTAGGTGAATGTATTTACTGTTTTCCATTAAAGTTTATTAATAGGCTGGTTCGTAACTGTCATTGTTGTACCTCTGAACAAGTAATATGTGTAAATAGTGGGACGAACAAGACAACTATAAAAATTTCGAGAGCAGAAAACAGGGTGTGTCTTAGTCAGGTCACAAATCTATTCATACCCTTGTCGTGTCCCACATGTCGGACAGTTCAGGGTAGTCATTGGTGGATGAGGAACCTTTATAAAAAATTACCTTGTGTTTGTGAGATTCCAAATACTGTGTCGAGTGACACTTTTTACTTTTACCTTTAGTTGTGACAACACTAACTCTCTGTATGTCTAAATTGTAAACAAGCTTAGCTAACAAGCTGAGATTCCACAGATTATAGAAGTATAAGTATCATCACTGAGCGATCAGAACTCGTGACAGAGGAACATGTAAAATGTAAAATTTGTGATATTGGGCTATATAAATAAACATTGATTGATTGATTGACAACACACGACGTAGCGGATCTGATCGTAACATCATCGGGCCATTCGTGAGGACATCTTAAGCCATCGTATGACCGCCGGTGGAGTTTCTCAGGCTCCGGCGGCAACTTCGTAAGGCACTCGTGAGGGCATCTTGTCAAATCGTGTCATCTTCGTGTTATCATCGGTGCCATTGGGCATTCGCCCTCACTCTGATCGGGGCGAATGCCCGATGGCACCGATGATAACAAGATGCTCTCACGATGGCCTTACGAAGGGCAAAATGGACACAAATTCAACACGAAAATGAACCTTCACAAGGTCCTTCGGGCAACTTTTTGGCATGACAAAGATTTTGCCACCTCTCGCGAAGTTGCTGCCGGAGCCTGAGAAACTCCACCGGCGGTCATACGGTGGCTTAAGATGCCCTCACGAATGTCCCGATGTTGCTACGATCAGAGCTGAATTTGAACATTTCCTTTATCGTGAGTCCATCGGGTTGTTTTATTGCACAACAAAATCATGTAAACATATTATGTAAATAACCCAATTTGTGTTCTGTGAAACTGAAAAGGATATAATATATTATTTTGAAGGCGAGTTGACAGGAAGTTGTTGTTGCTATGGAAACAACATGACGGAGAAAACGTAATATCTTCTACATATAAAGACGGATAAAGTAAAGAACAAAGTCTGAAAATATCAGTACAGTATCATAGTACTTTAAAAGAATCGTTTTTGTTACTTTCGTTGCAGTTGTATGTCTTAAATGTAATGTAAATGTTGCCTTCGTGTGTGGTTCGGGGCCATCTTCGTGCAAAATTCACAATTCCATATTCGTGTGTCCATCGGGTGTCAATTTCGGGACAGTGTGACAGGGGCTTTAGAGAACACAAAGGCTTGGATAAGAGAGCATTTCAAACTTTTTGAATAATGATTTACACCTATAATAATGCTTCATATGTGTTTAAAAACTAAAAAAACAATGCGTTATTTAGTGTTTTCCAACCTTTTTTCCCGGGTGACACCATACTGTTATATCAATCTTGGACCTAGTCATAGTAACTAGGTATGTTATTAAATTACAGTTTTCAGAGCCAAGAGGCTAATCGTCTCTTTGCTAATTAGAGGGAAAACATTGATGTTCGTGTGTTAGTTAATGTAAAGAAATGTATGTGCGTTCATGTGCAGACGTATAGTTTGTTAATTGGATAACTCATATCCTGCAAGACTCCTAAAGACGTCATGAGATGATGACCTTTCTACAGCTGGAACATGTCCTGGAAGACCTGACAATGTGTGTGCGTTAAACATGTTTAGGGAACATGTTCGTGTGTCATTTAGAAAACGTATATCTGCCCTGTGTGTTTCTTGTATTCGCGGGGGCATTGCTGTATGATTGCTTGAGGGCAGGTAATGTTTCCCCATTGTTGTTTGGTGTTGCGCAACTAAATAATAATGATTAATTAAAATCTGTGTTTGTGTTTTATTGATTCCTCTCTGTTTCATTCTTTCCTGTTGCGAGGGTTGATTTGCCACAACATTACAAACATGTTTTTAATTGTATAACTGACCAAGGATCAAAAAACTAAAATTATGATTTATTAGAATAACAATTTCAAGTTATTTGCAATTTCTCTTGTTTTATATAAATAGCCACATACCATGAAAAAAATGCACGGTCATGAGTGATTATTTTTCAGTTTTTTCACCATGCACAACATTATCTTTCATGTGATTATTTCTGAGTAATTAGCATGTGATGATAACAAGGAGACTGTGAGTAAAGAGAGGTTGGGGAAAGGGAGATGGCAGGAAAGGGATGGGGGATGAAAAAGAAAGCAAGGAGCAGCATGTGTTGTATCTCCCCAGCCAATATGTGGTGAGAGCTACATGAAGCCTCCGTTAAGCTCCCTGAGAATGCCGCCATCACCCACTGGGGAAGCGGAGTAATTACAGAGTGCTTTGGTCCCCATTTGCCTACAAGCCCGGCAGCTCAGGCGCTAGATAATGAAGATTCACTGAATGCGGTTAGAGCTAGTTATCTTTTGCCGTTTACTCTACATGCTAGTGGCATTGAACACACTTTCCCGGAGGTTTTGTTTTGACATAATGTAGTAGGCCTATAGTTCAAGCCTTCAGCCTTGTGCACAAGCTGAATTATTATAGTTCGTAAATTGGTTTGAGAAGATTCAGGAGCATCCATCTGGCAGTGTCAGGAATACACCTGGAAGTTATTTAGTAGTCAGAGTGCGGAACATTTCCTGCTTTGTATGCAAACAATCGTGTTCGTGGCTGTATACATATAACTGTTCTCCTGTCCTCTGCTGAGAAACATCCTTAGACTCTCTGTGAGAACATTATGCATGAATTCACTTCTTCAAGAGTCCTGATACAGAGGAATCAATCTGTAGTTATTAGGTCTATTTCCTGTCTTACTGGGTGCTTGAACATGTAATGACATTCTAATGGACAGCTTAATATATCACAGAAAGAGTTGAGACAGAGTAATAACCTGACACTTGATGCTCTGCAATCTTCTACACTATGTAGTTTAAGGGCAAAAGCAACTCCGAGTAGAGAATAAAACGGAGGTCACACCTCAAAGTGACATTCCCTCGGTCCGCCATACCAAGTGCTATCAAAATCCAATTAGCTGAGAGGAAAGTGGTTTGTAAAACACAACAGAGGGTCTACGTTGAGGCTGAATTAATCAGCAGACCTTGCCGACCATGTGCAACACCACCAGAGATGGGGTCGTTACTAAAAAAAAGTAATATATTACATATTACTTTAAAAAAAAGTAATATATTACACTACTTCGTTACTCTCTACATAAAGTAACTCGTTACTTTACTCGTTACTGTAGCCTACTCGTTACTTTACTCGCATGGCCGGCCCGCCCCTCCCTACAGGCAGATCACGCAGACTGCGGTGCACCTACATTGTAAGCGCGCCACAGTTTTGACTCTGCGAGACTCCACTTGCACCCCCAATGACTATTGCATTAAGGAAGACATAACACAAGTCTTTCTTTTTATATGCTCTTTAATAAAATAGGCTACCAGCCTACCACAACAAGCTAACAGTCTGTGAAACGTAAAGACACTAATTAATGAAACCAGTTCAAGACGCATTATTCTTAGCATTCTTTATGAGCGCAGTAACGGTCAGGTATCTAATTACTTATTTATTAAGTATTCCATAACTTAGTAACTAAGAGATGGTCAAACTAAAGTGGTAGAGACATGGCAGAATTCCTACAATGAAGCGGGACATTGAACTGTTCACCCGTGAGAGGGCTATCAAGAAAAGAGAGCGAGCGGCCCCGTTGAGGGAGTTTACAGATGAGAAGACACAGAAAGACAGAAGCACAATAACAACAAGTAGGCTATATTTAGGTGTTTTTTTTGTAAATAACCGTATCAAGAGGAAGTAAAGTCCCATAGGTTGTCCCTATACCCTAACTGCCATGAGACAACTCAAAATCAAGTTTCCAAAATCCGACACTGAGGTGGTCTTAAGACTCTTAACGCACCGGCAGATGACAGCGCTGACAAAGTCTGTTTCCCGCTGCGAGACGCTACAATACTAATTGTGGGCTTATCATTTTGATTCGGCCACAACAGAAAAAAGAAAANGCGCTGACAAAGTCTGTTTCCCGCAGCGAGACGCTACAATACTAATTGTGGGCTTATCATTTTGATTCGGCCACAACAGACAAAATAAAAACAAACTCTCGCTCTCTCCAGAGGGGTAGGTCATCAGAAAAAGGCAAACGGGCCGTTGTCCGGGCAACATTAGCCCGTACGTGTGCACGTCCCTGCAGCAGTGGATAACAGCTTCTGGCCTGGACACAGTTTGCACCTCACCGTCACATTCCTGTCTATTCTTCGGACGAACTCAAAATAATGGGCATACCTCCTCCCAGGGGCGGACTGGGGGGGAAAAGTGGCCCGGGGATTAATTGACAGACAGGCCCACTTAATGCACGGCATGTATCGGCCGGCCGGCTATATGTTTAACAAAAAGACCTATGCATTTTATGTTATTTTGGACAATTATTCATATAAATCACATTACCTGAGCCCTTGAGTTGCCTAGAGTAAAATAGTTACTGCATATATGTAGTGATTTTAATGTTAACAGATCATTGATGCAATAACATTTGTGTACACCCAACTCTGAACACCACTTAGTGTTTGCCATGCAAGACCTTCTGTGCAACCCGTACACACATTTACTAATAAACTGCTCAAACTAAGACAGAAGTTTATATTCCTATAGATATGTATATGGGTTTTTGTGAATGTAAATGGTCTGCAAAGGCTTAAAAGGCAGCAAAAGAAGTTCCCTCTTTCTCAAATGTCACGGAGAGCCTTTGTAACAATAGTACCTTATCACTTCTGTTTCTCAAGTTCTAAATTGTTTTCCTGATTATGTTGGGATGAAAAAACGTAGTTAACTAGATAAAGGATGTGGATGGATAAAGGTGTGCTTTAATGAACTTGCCTTGTGGGTTTTGTTTACGACTTTTGAGGCTTCAACGAAATGAGCACTGAAAGTGAAAGTGGCAGGGCGTGACTGACTTTTAATTAGACTTTTATATATCATCAGGTATCACCTCAGCTTTGTCTGGGGAAGTTCAGTCACTCTGAGTGGAGGTATTGCTTGTGGCTGCAAAATAAAAGCAATGTTTATGTTCTGTGTTCCGTTACATCACCTGACATGAAAAGGCGTCCTTATTTGACTTTGTTATGAGCTAGTCTTCAAGGCTGCTCCTTATCCGTAAAATATTTATCATCTTATCCAGCATTGTTTTTATATTATAATAGTATCATCCTTTGTGTTTGTAAGAAAGCAGCTGTAGGAAAGGGTGTGACATTCTGTTGGCAAATACATCCTGTTGCTGTCACACACTTTGCACTTCCCTCATTAATCTGTGCCCGAGGACATAACAGATTCAAAGCCTCAGCCCAAAAGTTGCGTGGAAAATCAATATCAGAACATTCGCAAAGGCCATACCTCTTATCGATCCTCCTATCTGAAGCACTTCCCAAAGACAAGGTGAGATGTGGAGGAAATAGACAAAGCAGCATCCTTGAATGTTTCTTGAAAAAACAATGTGTTAGAAGTAAAGATCTTTAATGTACTGATTCACCAGCTGCCCTCTGCCCTCTGCGTTCAAAGCCTCCTTCTCAAGCAGCACACTGATCAAATGTTTGGTGCTTGTTGTCTGAAGGTGAAAAGGATCCTTCAGGGCAATCAACAGGAAAAGTGTTTGTGTTTTCCCGTGGGCGTTCACAGGTAAAAGCTGAAGCATTAACACTTGTCAATCAACACTAAGCTGCTTGTTACATAAGATCTTTATCCTTCAAACGTTAGCCAGAAACAATGTGACCTAAGCAATGACTCAGAAATGGGTCTTAAGAGATGTGTTTGGAGATGCTCCCTTCATGTCCTTGCAAAGCACAGGAAGCTGTATCAAGTGTAGATCACGTTAAAACTCCCCCGCCAGGCGCACATCATTTAGATTGTTTGGTTAGATGGTGAGACAAGGTGTTAGGGTCAGCGGGGGGAGTGTGAGATTTCATGAGGCTGTGTGTTACACGTCATTTCAGACTCATTATGATGTGCTCCAACCACTGAACTCTGTGTTCCTGTGAGTCATTTGACACTGCTGTGCTGGCATTGAAATCATGATAATCATTCAGTGGATTGAAGGCAGCAGATTAAATACTTTGGGTTTAGTCCATCATTTGTGGTTATCATCAGTTTTTGTATTTTATATCAATCAATCAATCAATCAATCAATCAATGTTTATTTATATAGCCCAATATCACACATGTTACATTTGTCTCAGTGGACTTCACAGCTTGTACAGAATATCAGTATGACATACGACACCCTCTGTCCTTAGACCCTCTGTCCTTGGAACCTCACATCGTACAAGGAAACACTTCCAGAGAAACCCCCACAGTTTAAAGGGGAGCATGGGAGAAACCTCAGGGAGAGCAACAGAGGAGGGATCCCTCTCCCAGGACGGACAGACGTGCAATAGATGCCGTGTGTAAATCGAAGAGATAATACATTTTACAACATAGGTAGACCAAATGTTTGGAAATGCATGTGTCTATAATAAGAAGATGAATCCACGAGGATGTCAGCAAT